TTCCTGACGTGAAAGCAGCTTGTAGTACGACGTGCGACGTTTTCGTCCGCTCCCAACTTTTTCGCCTCTCATTATTCGTGCGCTTCGTAATCGTCGTTTTTCATTTGGTGCCATGCGAATTCGTTAAACCTCCGATGATCCTTTCAGAAGCGGAAGAAGAACGTGACAACATCGTCGCCAATGAAGTTCCTTTTCTTAATCAGCGCATGTCCATATAACATTTTCTGCTTATTCGCAGAAGCATATCTGTTGTGACTCGAAGCCAACACTCGCCAGAAATGACTTACTTACAGCTGGCCCGCAGTGCATTATGTGGTTAGACCACTTTGGTTAATTATAAACGATTTTTCGGACTCTAAGATTTTTACATAATGCCACATTTGTATTAACATATTATCTAATATATATATATATATATATATATATGGAACATTTTCTAATATTGTTAAAATAAACTATTCCACTGTGTAACTAATAAATATATCACGCATTATAGACCCAATCGGTCAGTAAAAATAAATAGTTTCCAAGGTGGACCTTAACTTAAAATTTACACTTTTGTAAAGTAGGTCAGAGAAAACTGGATTGCTATGTCTGACAGAATTCTTTTTCTTTAAATAGCTCCATTTGAATCGAGTCTTACCTCATATAATGAAATATATCGATTTTCATAGATTGACGAGCATCGATTAGATAACTTATTCCATTTGAATAATTTAATAAATGAATGTAAAAATTTTTTTTTCATTATTACCCATATGTATATAATAGTACAACAATCTCAACTATATATTATCACATATTGTTTTTCATTGGCAAATAATTCTTTAATATTTATTATTATTTTCTATTATAATTCGCCTTTAAGTATACATGTATATGATGATAATGATAATGTTCACTACACACTGCAATATATTTGTATTAACTTTTAATTAATATAATTTCTTTCATTATATCTAGCTTATCGACGATATAGCTTTTAATGAAAAATGTTATAATTGTAAAAAAAAATCTTTTTATTACGTATTGCATATATTATCATAGCAAATTATATTTACTATAATTCTATAGAAAATAAGGAATAAATTTTAGAAGTATGTTTCAACTAGCGTAGTACTCTCTTTTTATATTAATTAAATTTTTAATTTACTCATTTATTCCGAATAAAAAATAATCTATAATATTTTAATTTTATCCAAATTTTTCTACCTTATTTACAACTTATATATTAAACTTTTACTAAAGCTTATTATAACTTATGTCAATATATTATTTTTATACTTGGCATTCTTATACTTGTAAATGGTTTCAACAATTACTTATTCTAATTCGTTATGAAGTTAATATAAATTTGGTTTTTCGAAATTTCTGACGTTTGTCAATTTGAAATTTTTTAAATCCATTAAAATAATTGCCTTCTTTATCTGAATTCTTATTAAAAACTACTATACAGATTTCGACTATTTTGATGCAAATAAGTTCAATGCTTCGCATTTTATAAATATGGTGCAGCTTTCTTTGTTTCATCAGCCAACGACCAGTAATAATGTTAATGGACGATTATTAGTTCTTTGTGTAGGAAGCGACGTTAAAACGATGTAAAATCAGCAAGGTGCTACATTGCGTAATTATAGTTCTTCGAGTGATTTATTTCTCAATTGTTGTCTAAGTTCATAATTCCATTTTTAGATTCTTACCAGGCATCAAATGAAATTATATTTTTATAGTGTATTTATTATATTACTGAATATTTATATTGAATATATTATAATCCATAAATGTATCAAATAACTTACAAGACATAAAAATCCAAATAAATTGGTTATTTTTGTTCGAAAAAATATATTAAGCAAAAACATTTAAAAAAAGAGAAATCCATTTTATTATCATTATTTATAGAATCTAACTTTTTTCTTTATTATATATTGATACAATTCATTGATGTAATACATTAGATAGTTATTTAATGTGGATAAAACGAGCTAGTTACTAACTATTAATACCTAATACTTTTAATTCTATAATTTCTAACTCGATAATGTTGATTTATTCAATGAAAATGATTACGATCTCGTTCCATTTGAATTCTTTAGTATTTGGACGTTTCGCAGGAGTGATTTTAGTAAAACTTTCTATTATAATACTTCTATACAAAGAACTAATAATTATTATTTGATTTATATAATAAATATTGTTGGCAAGGTATTATGATTTTGCATACTTCTTTTTTAATTTTTTTTTAAATTCATGCAATGCAAGGATATATTAAAATTTCAAAGGCATACGTAAAATTAGTCAAAAACGTTGATATTTTAATATTTCTTTATGTAAATACCTGTTTGTTCTAATCTATCCTTTTATCTAAAAACTATTATATTTATATATTCATAAAATCTATTTTAGACCGTAATAGAAGATAACATTAATATAAATATTTATTTCAAATGCAATTTATAATACGCAACTTCCATGCATAGGACTATACTATTATTTTTGTAATAAAATCTTAAATATCAATAAATTTTAATTATTTTATAATGTAATATAATTCATATACTGACATTATAATGGCATTGTCACTATGTGAAATAAATATTTTCAAATTATAAGCTTTTCTTAATAATTGAAAACCTTTTGTATAGTAAGAGACATCACTTATATAAATATTGATATATTTCATGTTAATCTTGCAATTTATTTGATTAATTTATAAGAAATAAAAATATATTAATTGCTCAATTCTAGAAAATTTAGGATGTATAATTGTATCCATGATATTAATTATAGTTAATTTGATTCAATAAGTTTAATAAAGATTTTAACAGTTAATTTAAAGAAAATCTTAACACTACTTAATTTTAAAGCACTATATTATTCATTATAATAACATATATGTAATAGAATCTTCAAACATTATTATAATAATAACGAAGAAAAAATGACAAATGTATAAACCTGTTTCTTATGTTAAAGCGTAAAAGCAATTCATATGCAATTTCCTCAACATTCTAGTTTACATGTTTAAGAAATGGGGAAAGGTAATCACGGGATTATCTTCGCATGACAGACTTTTCAGTTCGAGGTTATATCGCATCATCTTATTTCATCATCAACGAAATAAAACACATGCTATTATCTATCATAAATCAAACTGGACATAAATATTTTTTATAATTATTGACGTGAAATTCA